CAGCTGTGAGGGGCAGCTAGGATTCTTCTCATACCGGCCAGCCGACTCCTGTGACAGCTCAGCAACACCTGGGGACAGCCAGTAACAGCACTTTAGGCCTAGAGGGGGGCATCATCTCACTTCAGTGATTAAGGTTTAGTAGATCACTTAACAAGATCCTACTTAGTTACAAAGCAAAAAAAGACACAATGACAATCTTAAAAAAAAAGAAAAACAACAAAAACTTCAATATATGTTTCAATTCTGATGAAGTACAAGTTATGTGACACATAGACATGTCATGCACCAGTACATGAAAAACCTAAAATCATTGTACTTACAAAAATAAAAAAACTATAGCAAATATATGTTAATAAACTATATGTGATTCTGCAGCTAAAACACCATATGTCACTGAATACTAATAATAGAAGATTGTAGATCTATAAAAGATAAAACAGGATTTTCTCATTTTAGGTGTTTTTAGTGCTGATACTGTGAAGTAAACTAGTGACAGGCGTTTAATTGCATAATGTTTTTAAAGTCATAATAGCCCCACAAATTAATATTGACACCTTTTCGGAGAAAAATACTGGCTTTATAATGTATTTCCTAATAATAACATTGATGACAGGTCTAAATGTTTACCAGCCAGGCAAGTACAATACAAGACAAGTCACAACCCTAGTTGTAATAGTATAAAATGTACCTGACGTTTAGTGTGAGTGATAGAGCCTGGGTGAATGGCTAGGTCTGTGGTTACATGGTCTATCAATGGATTTTCTGTTTTTATTTGATTCATTTTTGTGTGTTATAAACTACATTTTCAGGCTGCCAATGGCATGTAGTAAAAGTTATTTTATGATAAAAAAAGGTTACTTGCTGAAATTTTGTTTTTGCTGAAAACCTAATAAACATGATAAAGCAGCTCAAGCCTATACTGTACAAGGGTTTTTTTAAGGTTAAAATGTACTGTATGTCCAGCCAAAAGTGAGAAACATTTACAATTTTGGGTTTTTACTGTTGTCTGGGATTTCCCCTCATTTAGGCTTGGTTCACACCTATGCAGGTTGCTTTTGAGCCGTTTCTGCATTGTGTTTTGCGTTTTTGCACTTGTGTTTTTGATGCGTTTTTATTCAATTTTTTTTTCTTGTTGCTAGACAGATTTAAAACACAAAACACATCAATAACTCAGCAAAAATGCAAACACATACGTTTCTGCAGAGTTTTCATTGAAGTCTATAGAACCAAAAACACAACTTTTTGCTTTCAAAAAAGTCCCTGACCCTTTCCGAAAAAACACACCGGGTGAAAACGTACAGATGTGAACATGTCCCATAGGAAATCATGTTAAATGGACTGTACTACGTGTCTGAAAAACGCTGTAGAAAACGCTTAGGTGTGAACCTAGGGTTAGGGCCCTTAGCACTGCCTTAGCACATGTTCATTATGTCACGTGAGTTTAATGTGGATTATGCTAATGTACCAAAAAAGGTACATGTGGCATTTTTTGGCAGTGCAGCACCATGCAGGCTAGTCAGCCATCTGAATGGCACCACAGATCACATCAACACTCAAAACTCAAAACAGTACAATGCTGTGAATAATGACAGTTTCACCAGAAACCAGCAAATCTTCAATGGAACAAAGACAGCTAAGAAAACTGACTGGGGTTATAGCTATCCTCAGCTCTACTAAAAAACATTTTATTTCTGTCTGTGTTGCTGTTAGTGATCAAACCCCATCTCCTGTGTGATTTAAGCCATTGGGTTCCATCCCCTACACTCCACCGAAACTGCCTTACTCAAACTCACCAATGACCTGCTAACCACCAAAGCTAATGGCCACTACTCAGTGCTCCTACTCCTCGACCTCTCTGCGGCTTTCAACACAGTCGACCACCCCCTCCTCCTCAAAAAAAAACTACACTCCCTCGGCCTCAGAGACTCCGCTCTCTCCTGGCTCTCATCCTACCTATCACAACGCTCCTTCAGCATTACCTAAAATGCTACCACCTCCCCCTCACTCTCCCTCTCTGTTGGGGTCCCTCAAGGCTCTGTCCTCGGGCCTCTTCTCTTCTCCATCTACACCTCCTCCCTTGGCCAACTGATACACTCTAACGGCTTCAACTACCACCTCTATGCCGACGACACGCAAATCTATCTCTCGACCCCTCGCCTCACCCCTTCAGTCTCCGCCCGAATCACTAGCCTACTGAATGACATATCAGATTGGATGTCACTCCACTTCCTTAAACTGAACCTCTCCAAAACCGAGCTCCTAATTTTCCCCCCACTGACTTCTCCATCACGTCCAACAATGCCACCATCAGGCCCACCCCGCAAGGCAGAGTATTGGTGTCATTCTAGACTCCAATCTATCCTTCCAGCCCCAAGTCCAATCACTAACAAACTCATGCAGACTCCACCTTTGCAACATCTCCAAAATACGCCCATTGCTAACCCCAGAAACTACTAAGCAACTCATCCACTCCCTCATTATATCATGACTCGATTACTGCAACTCCCTCCTCACTGGCCTGCCTCATTACAGGCTATCCCCGCTTCAGTCGATCCTGAATACGGCAGCCAGACTCATCCACCTTACCAACCACTCTGTTTCCGCCACCCCCCTCTGCCAATCCCTCCACTGGCTTCCGATTGCCCAACGGATCAAATTCAAACTGCTAACACTGATGTACAAAGCTGTCCATAACTCTGCCCCAAACTACATCACCGACCTAATATCGAAATACCACCCAAAACGCACTCTCCGCTCCTCACAAGACCTCCTTCTCTCTAGTTCCCTGGTCTCCTCATCCCATGCCCGCCTCCAGGACTTCTCCAGGGCATCACCCATCCTCTGGAACTCCCTACCCCAATCCATCAGACTATCACCTATTCTCCTCTCCTTTAGGCGTACCCTGAAAACCCATCTCTTCAGGGAAGCCTACCCTGCCCTCTGCTAATTGCCGATCTCCTCCACTCTTCCTACTACTCCACCCCCCACTGCTTTTCTTCCCGTACCACTATCCCCTCCCTCCTAGATTGTAAGCTCCAAAGAGCAGGGCCCTCAAACCCCTCGTGTATCGCATTGTATTGTTATTGTACTGTCTCGTGTATTGTCTCCCATTGTAATGTACAGCGCTGAGCGAACTGCTATGGGGGCACTCAAGCAGGCTCACTCCTGTGCAAGTGTCCTGTGAATGGACATTGTCCATTCAAACAGCAACCTGACCCTGCCCTCCCACTCTCTCCTCATTGACTTGCTGGCTGTGATTGACAGCAGTAGGAGTCCATGACTCCCACTGCTGTGTGAGCCAATGAGGAGAGAGACCCATAGGAGCCGGAGTTCTCATGCACATCGCTGGATGGAGATTGAGCTCCGGTGAGAATAAGGGGGGACTGAAGGGAAGCTGCACACAGAAGGTTTTTTTTACCTTAATGCATAGAATACATGAAGGTAAACAATCGTTTGCCTTTAGAACCACTTTAACTCTCTGCTTTTAAATGACCTTTTTGTTAGTGTTCAGCGCCAGAAATTTTATTAAGCTAATTTTTTTTAATTAAAAACTGCAACCTGAAAAATTCGTTTTATAACACAATAATCTGATCAAGCAAACAAGTAAAAGTAACTTACTCTCCTCTTAACCTGAAATCTATACTATCACTGCTATTTTATCAGTATAGTTATCTCTTGTCCAGTATTATACCTGCCTGGTTGGTAAAAATGGGACCTGTTGTTATTGTTTGCATAAAGAAAGAAACTATATACAGGCATACCTCGGTTTATGAATTTAATGCGTTCTGTGGGAAGTTTCGTATTGCAAAAAATTTGTAAACCGAAACGCGGTTTCCCATAGGAATGCATTGAAAACCAATTAATCCGTTCCGGAGGTCAAAAAAAAGTTAAAAAAAAAGTCTTTTACCTGTTAAAAACTCTTTTTTATTATTATTATTATTATTATTTATTATAATACAGGATTTATATGGCTCCAACAGTTACAATATAACAGGAGACAATACAGCAACAATACAGTTCAATACAAGAGGGATTGGAGGGCCCTGCTCCTCCGAGCTTTATAAAGTGCACTTTAAAGGCATAAATACTGTACAGTGACATGATTAAAAAAAAAATTGTAAATGCATTGAAAAACAATTAATCCGTTCTGGAAGTCAGAAAAAAGTAAAAAAAAGTCTTATCTGTTCAAAACTCTTTATAAAGTGCACTTTAAGGGCATAAATACTGCACAGTGACATGATTAAAAAAAAAAAATTGTAAATGCATTGAAAACCAATTAATCCGTTCTGGAAGTCAGAAAAAAGTAAAAAAAAAGTCTTATCTGTTCAAAACTCTTTATAAAGTGCACTTTAAAGGCATAAATACTGTACAGGGACATGATTAAAAAAAATTGTAAATGTATTGAAAACCAATTAATCCGTTCCAAAGGTTAGAAAATCAGAAAAAAGTAACAAAAAGTCTTATCTGTTCAAAACTCTTTATAAAGTGCACTTTAACCACTTGCCTACCAGGCACTTATACCCCCTTCCTTACCAGGCCAATTTTCAGCTTTCAGCGCTGCCGCACTTTGATTGCAACATTGTACCCATATGAAATTTTGATCATTTTTTTCTCACAAATAGAGCTTTCTTTTGGTGGTATTTAATCGCCACTGGGCGCTTTACTTTTTGCGCTATAAATTAAAAAAGTGAAAAAAATTTGAAAAAAAAAAAAGTTTCTTTGTTTCTATTATAAAATTTTTCAAACAGGTATTTTTCTCCTTCACTGATGTGCGTTGATGAGGCAGCACTGATGGGCACTGATAGGCGGCACTGATGGGCACTGATAGGCAGCACTAAAGGGCACTGATAGGCAGTACTAATGAGGTGGCACGGATAGGCGGCACTGATAGGCAGCACTAATGAGGTGTCACGGATAGGCGGCACTAATATGTAGCACTGATAGGCGGCACTGATAGGTGACACTGATGATGGGTACTGATAGACGGCACTGACTGGCATCACTGCTGGGCACTGACTGGCGGCACTGACTGGCACAACCGCTGGGCACTGACTGGCAGCACTGCTGGGTTACACTGGTGGGTGGCACTGGTGGGCAGCACTGGTGGGTGGGCACAGGTGGGTGGCACTGGTGGGCACAGGTGGGTGGCACTGGTGGGCACAGGTGGGTGGGCACAGGTGGGTGGCACTGCTGGGCACAGGTAGGTGGCACTTCTGGGCACAGGTGTGTGACACTGCAGAGTGGCACAGGTGGGTGCACTGCTGGGCACAGGTGGGTGCACTGCTGGGCACAGGTGGGCGGAGCTAGTGGGCGCGCTGCTGGGCACAGGTGGGCGGAACTTGTGGGTGGCACTGCTGGGCACCGATCATCAGGGCACTGATCATCAGTGGCCCTGATGATCGGTGCCGATCCCCGCTCTGACAACTGCCGGTTCTCGGCAGTACTTTCCTCACGATCTGACAGCGTGAGGAAAGTGCAGCCGAGAACCGGCACTTGCATTTCCCTGTGATCAGCGTGTCATTGGACACCGCTGATCACGTGGTAAAAGGCTGGTATGATCGGCCTTTTACCACATCTCGTGATCAGCTGTGTGCGTAGGACACAGCGATCACGGAGATCGCCGGGTGCGCGCCCCCTGGGGCGCACAGGAGAGCGCGTTCTGGGGGGACGTCATATGACTGGCCTTTTACCTCATCACGTGATCAGCTGTGTCCGTAGGACACAAAAATCACGGAGATCGCTGGGTGTGCGACCCCGGGGGCGTGCAGGAGAGCGCGTTCTGGGAGGATGTCATATGACGTCCACCCAGAACTGGCCGGCCGCAGTGAAGCCGTCATTCGGCTATCTGCGGTCGGCAACTAGTTAAAGGCACGGGGCCGGTGCTATAAACGCTTCGTATTGTGAAAAAACTTTGTAAACCGAGGCATTATTTTCAATGAATTTTCATTCGTAAACCAAAAATTACGTTAACCAAGGCGTTCGTAAACCAAGGTATGCCTGTAGCTGGTATTTTTCCCTGAAAAGGGGACAATGTTAATTTGTGAACTAGCAGAGAATGTGGAAAGCCACGCAACCAATAATAAGCCCTGTCAAAGCCTGTAAAGAAACGGCTTCAGCTTGTCTCCTCCAAATGCCAAACCCCTATAATGCGTTTCACCCTCCCATGGGCTTAGCCATAGAGCTCTATGACTAAGCCCATGGGAAAGTGAAATGCGTCAGATGGGGTGTGACTGCTGAAGGAGAGCAGCTGAAGTCATTACTTTATAAACTTCAACTGGGCTGATTATCCGCGTGCATCTTTCCAAACCTTCCCCTAGTTTGTTTCAGTGGGTCGGGAAAGCCCTACATACAAATCAGCACCTGACAGTATTGGAGCCCCTGGGCACATCTTGTTTTTCTGGGGTGTTAACTAGTGATCAGATTTTGGCATTAAAAAAATGTTAGCTTGGCATACACTAAAAAACAATTCACAGTATCATTGTGGCAACACCCACTGTATTACAATGCATTGTGGTGTCCTTCATTCTGAATTCATTCATTCTACTGACGTGCATTGTGTGGCACTACAGAACATGCTGCACGCCCAATTTCTGGTCCATTGTGGTGTGTTAGGCTGCCCTAATACAATGCACCTTACCTCACAAAACAACAGGTATTAATACTCCTGCGTTTACCATACTGCAGAGGACCTGGCTGGTGTAAATGGTCTATACTGAATGGTCAATACTGAATGGTCAATATTGAATGCAACATCATTGTTAGGAAATAAATGCTTGGCTATGAAATCGAACACAATTCAAATGTATGGACAAGTTAAGGGATGACATTTTTCAGGGACAAATCTAAATAATCTTGAATAATCTCAAAGCAAATAAGATTCGACTTTCCACAGAATTAAACAAAAGCCTGCATACAGTATAAGGCCTAGTGAGCTATATCGGGGGTCAGCAACACATAGATCGCAGCCAGGTGACTGGTAGATTGTGGTCTGGGCTTGCTGACCCACCATCCCAGAACATCAGAGTGCAATGCAGAGGGACTACTTGTAAAGTTGGAGGTGTAGTAGGGAGCAGGAGCTGCATAAAGTGATGCCTCTTTTGTAGTTCTGGCTCCTGTCCCAGCAGAGTGACACCAACTGCACTCCACCTCTTATCCCGGCTAGTAGTCTCTGGAGTGGTGCCAGCAGCATGAAAGAAGAGATCTTCAGGTCAGTGAGAAGCAATACACCAGGAATAATAGTATAGGGCTGCTTTCACACTGACATGCTGCAATTTACCCACGCCACGGGTGCAGTGTACCTGCAGCTTTCCTGGGTTTGCTGTACTTAGTCAGAGACTTCTATTATATTCTGCAGGTTTGGTGCACTTTCAGAATGTGCACCACACCTGCAGGATATAACAGATGTCTTTGGCAAAGTGCAGCTAACGCAGGAAAGTCGCAGGTGCACTGTGCTGTTCCCTTGGTGCAGGTAAACCGCAGCACATCAGTGTGAAAGCAGCCTTTTAGGGGGCTCAGAACAGTAAGGGTGCATTTACATTTGCAGTTTGGGGGTGGTTAAACCCTATAGTTAAGACTTGTTTTTACCACCCCCCTCCCCAAACACTCCCCCTTTAGCTGCAGTGTCCAGAGGTGTATACATGTCGCCGCCACAGCTGGAGTAGTATGCCTTGTCATGGTTGGTGGGTGTAGCACCTGCCAAGCATGACCATTCAAGTGAATGAGGCCACTCTGCAAGTGCCCTGCAACCTTGTGCAGTACAGCAAACAAGGGGTTAAAGGAGGCACCATTGTGTTGCTTTCTCACCCACTTTAACCCCTTGGACCCCGCAGAAGCATGCAGTTGTGGGGAGCTTGCAGAGTAACCAAATTTACTTGAATGGGTCACAATTGGTAGGCATCCAGCCATCAAAAGCAACAGCGGGTTTATTTCCTGTTGCAGCATGTGGACACCTTTGGCTGCTACCTCAACAGCTAAAGGGGGGGGGTGGGGATTGGGGCAGTAAAACTGTGACTCAACTTCAGGAATTTACCCCCCCCCCCCACACACACACACACACACACACACATACACACACACTTTAAGTTGAACAAGCCCTAGGGGTGCCACTGCTGAATACAACTAAGGGCTCATTCACAAGTGCAGCAGGCACTGCTGCTCCTCTGAAAAGCGATCCAAGTGTGTTTGACAGGTGGTGAGGAGGCCATAGTTGTCTCCTCACCACCTGATTTAAACCCATGATTGCTGTGCAATGCACATGATTGTGACATGGTAGTACAGCAATTAGAGGTCTAAATCAGGTGTGAGGAGGTGCCACTGTGCCCGGTGATCTTTGCCTCCTCCTATGTTGTGCAGGTAGATCTCCACCTCTTGAAGGTTGCCTATCCCTGAGCTATGCTGTGCAGTGACTGTGGGACACAGGCTGCCAGGATCCCCCCAGCTATCCTATCCGCTTGCCTCTGCTGTGTACTACTGTGTGCTATCTGTGCTGTGCTTTGTTATCTCATGAAACTGGGACCAGTTGTCATGAGAGGTCACCCTGTCCCCGTCCTTTGAGAAAAGCATGTGTGTTTATTATGACTATGAGTGACAGCTGACAACAACGGGAGTCACATATAAGAAAAAGCCTTAGGTGTGCTACACATGGATTATAAATGAGCATTCTATAGAACTGCAAGCTGCCCACCAACAAGAGGGTCAGAACTAGACATAAATTCGTTTAATTCAGTTTTTGGAATTTGTTTCATTTAATCGAAGTCAACCGAATCCTAATGGATAAGAATTATTATAAATGATCTGGATTTGAAAATAATTCTAATGGAGTCGATAATAATTCTAATGTTACAATCCATAATCCACAATCCATATGTGTTTTTGATGGTATATGGGCTATATGAAGAGTTGCGTAACCGTATTGGAAGTGTCTATTTCAGCAAAATTTCACAGTGCCTTTGTTGATCACTATTCATGTCATCATAGAGCAGCTCACAATTTTATGTAAAGTATTTTAGTCTATTCCATTCTTTTCTATTATTTTATGTTCTATTCTACTGTATTCTGTTAGAAATTTAAATTCATTCTATTCAGAATTTGAATTTCGGAAGGCAGTTTTATTCTATGTTATCTTATTCTATTGTTTTTCTATACTATTCTATTCTTTTATTCTCTATTCTATGCCGTTCTTTCTTTTCTGTTCTATTCTTTGATTTTCTATTCTATTCAAATCTATTCTATTCTAATTGATTCTATTCTATTCCTTTATTTTCTGTTCTATTTTGCTCTGTATTACTCTATTATTTTCTATTCTATTCTTTGATTTTCTATTCTAATCTTTTCTATTCTAAATGACTCTATTCTTTTCTATTCCATTCTTTCATTTTCTATTCGAAGCTTTTGTATTCTTTTATATTCTATTCTTTGATTTTTTTTTTATTCTAATATTTTCGATTCTATTCAAATGGATTCTATTCTTTTCTATTCCTTTATTTGTTATTCTATTTTGTTCTGTTTTACTCTATTATTTTCTACTGTATTCTGTTCTATTATTTTCTATTCTGTTCTTTTTTCCTCTATTCTTTTCTACTCTGTTCTATTCTTTTATGTTCTATTCTATTATTTTCTAGTTCTTTATTTTGTGTTCTACTTTATTATATGTTTGTTTTCAAATTTGAATTTGTTTTCAATTGTGTATTCGAATTCAAATCCATTTGAATTTTGGCTGAATTTCATTTCGTTCTTTCAGATTCGTTTAAGTTCGTTACTATTGTAATTCAGAATTCATGGACATCCGAATCTCCGAATAAAGGAAAATTCATCTGATTTCGATTCGGAATGAAATGAACTGCACATGTCTAGCCAGAACCAGCCCATTGAGATGCCATTCATTTCTCTGTAATGTCTTACAAACTATATTAGCCAAAATAAATCCCTTGCATAGTAAATGTTAACCACTTGCCGCCCAGCCACTGTAATACGGCGGATATACGGCGGCAGGGCGGCACTGGCAGGCAAAACCACGTTTTAAAACGCGTGTTTTGTAAACAAATAGGGGGCGCGCGCGAGGCGCACCGCCGCCCTTCTGTCCCGCCGATCTCCGCCGCGGATGTCAGTCGCCGGGTCACAGCCAGTCCTTAGCGGCTGTTTCCCGATGATCGGCGGTAAACAGTGACAGAGAGCACAGCTGCAGTAGCTGTGCTGTCTGTCACTTCCTTGTCAGCTCGAGGACGAGCTGATCAAGACAGAAGAGTTTCTCTCTCTCGATCAGCGGTGTCCTGTGCAGCACACACCCCCGCCCCCTAGTAAAAACACTCCCCTCATTCAGATAACCCTTCCCTGCAAAATAAAGTTAACCCCTTCCTCCCCAGTGCCATTAGTACAGTGTCAGTGTTTTTCTTTTTGCACTGATCACTGTATTAGTGTTTTTAGGGATGTCAGTGACCCCAAGTCAGTACCCCCCAATGTCAGAATGTCCACCGCAGTCCGCCGCCATAAGTCGCTGGTCGCTGCCATAAGTCACTGATCGCCGCCATAATTCACTGATCGCCGCCATTATTAGTATAAAAAAAAACCCTAAAAATCCCAGTATCTTTCCCGCCATTCGTAAACGCTATAACTTTCACGTAAACCAATTAATTTACGCGTATTGTTTTTTTTTTTTAGCAAAGACATGTCGCAGAATGCATTTTGGCAGAAATTTATGACTAAATTAGATTTTTGCATTTTTTTTTACTGGACATGTTTTATAGCAAAAAGTCCAAAATATTGGGTTTTTTTTCCTCAAAATTGTCAACCTTTTTTTTATAGCGCAAAAAATAAAAACCGCACAGGCGATCAAATACCACCAAAAGAAAGCTCAATTTGTGGGGAAAAAAAGGATGTAAATTTCATTTATGTACCGTATTGCATGACCGCGCAATTGTCCGTTAAACTATCGCAGCGTTGTATAGCAGAAAAATGGCGTAAATTGCAGTATTTATACCATAGTTTGTAGACGCTATAACTTTCACACAAAGCAATCAATATACACTCATTGGGGTTTTTTTTTTTACCAAAAACATGTAGCAGAATACATTTTGGCCTAAATTTATAACCAACTTTGAGCTTACTATATATTTTTTATAGCTGAAAGTAAAAAATATTTTTTTTCTTCAAAATTTTTGGCCTTTTTTTGTTTATAGCGTGAAAAATAAAAAGCGCACAGGTGATCAAATACCACCGAAAGAAAGCTCTATTTGTGTGGAAAAAAAGGACGTAAATTTCGTTTGGGTGCAGCATTGCATGACCGTGCAATTATCAGTTGAATTAATGCAACGCCCAGTAGCAAAAAGAGGCCTGGTCATTAAGGGGGGTAAATCCTCTGGAGCTCAAGTGGTTAAATAATTATTTAAAATGGCATCTTTGTGGACTTTGGTAGCATCCTTCACGCTGGTACAAGGAAGGTACTGCATGGCGAGACAGTGGTAAACCAGAAAGTAAGGGAGGTTTCTTAGTTTGTAATAGTATGTGGGAATATTAACCTTTCTCAATAGGGTTCATGGAATCAGAGGGTTCTTTCAGGGGTTACCAAGGGTTCCTTGAGCTGTGGCAGATTGATATTCCACCTATACCCATCACTAAAGTTAGGAACAGGCCACTGACATCAAATGCAAGGGGTCACCTCTGCACTGACCACCAATGTAAGATGGAAGTTTTATACTGACCCCCAATTTAAAGGGGGACTCATTCACTGGCCTCCAACATAAGGACCCAAGATTATCCCTGTTGACTGCCAATGCAAGTTAGTATTTCTCCACTGGCCAATAATTTAAGGGAACCCTACAAATGTTTGTCCATGTTTCTTTTCTGCCCATAATGGGCAGCACAGTGTCTAAATGATTAGCACTTCTGCCTGGCAGCACTAGGGTCCTTGGTTCAAATCTCAGCCACAGCATCACCTGCCTGGAGTTTGTATGTTCTCTCTGTGCCTGGCTGGGTTTCCTCCAGGTACTCCAGCTTCCTCCCACACTCCAAAGACATGCTGGTAGGTAAACTGGCTCCTGTCTAAATTGGCCCTAGTATGTGTATGTATGAATGTGAGTTAGAGACCATAGATTGTACACCCTTTGAGGGTTAGGGACTGATGTGAATGTATCCATTCTGTAGGGATCGTCGAAGGGGGTGTCACCAAGTGTTACCGCACCGGGTGGCACCAACCCTAGGGACACCTCTGGGACTATGGAGAACAAACTTAGACACCCTCTAACAGGAAGCTAGATCACAGTACTTAAAAAATAGAGATATGCACAAAGCTGAGATCCTCCTCTAATAGAAAGGCCTTTTTCTGAGTTTAGACTACATACATAAAGTGGGATTTCAATTAAAAGTGAAGATTCCACACGACCTCCTATTCCCCTTCTTCTGTAACATTATTGGTGGTTTTTTTTTTGAGCTGGTAACTTTTTATGAGGTGCCCTCTCCTACTTTCTTTTGCAAATCTTGCCTAGGCGAGAATGACATACGTTTGTACCGCCAACCCCCCCCCCCCCTCTGCGGGACCCCTCTGCAACCTCTGCGGGACCAGTCTGAAAGCACAGCGTGATCTTGCGCCTGCATAGTGGAGAGCTGGCTCCCTCAGCCAGAATGGTGGCACCAGAGATCCAAAGACTAGTAAAGAACCAGCCTGGGTTGAGACAGTGCTGGACTCCTTGACTGGTAAGTGTCTGTTTCAGTATTTTTTTACTACTGATTTTTCTTTTGTTTAAAAAAAAGTTTAGTTCTTCTTTGAATTTATTTTTTAAATCAGAGTCTAGTGTCACTTTAATATTCTATATTGAATAAATTTAGAAAACTTTCATTAGATTTGCCATTGGCTCAGGAGATACAGAACACAAATGCAGCATGGGATAAGGAAACTGATGCTAATTAGAGGTTTCTTGGGTAGAAGGCTATTATTAGTTAAGCCAGCCATAGACAGATAGAAATTCAGCCAATTCAACAGGAAACGGATGATTTTTGATCCATCTATGGGTAGCCTGGTTGTACTGAAGTCGATCCATTGATTAACTTCAGTACAACCAGCCCGAACATTGTATCATTGATCCAGGGGCGGACTGACCATTAGAGCACTCGGGCACTGCCTGAGGGTCTGGGGTCAGTAGGGGGCCCCATGAAATGCCCCTGGTACCTTTTTTATAGGCATCTTTGAGTGTGGGAAAGGACACAGGGGCCCCATGATCCCCTATTGCCCGGGGGCCCCATAAGTTGTCAGTCCGCCCCTGCATTGATCATTGTATTCTGCCAGCAGGGGAGGCTCCCCATGCTCCGCACAGGCAGAACACAGTAGTGCTGCGGGAGCGATCCTCCCATCAATACTGACTGTGGTTGAAAGAAAGAAAGTTGCATATGTATGGCCTTCCTTGGACTCTTTGGCAGATATGCCCAGTAGGGTCTCTGCATGGATCATTTGATATTACACATGGTGTCGATCATCCAACAGCTTCTTACAACCACTGAAAATTGGAATGGGTAAATCTTGTCTTGGAGATCCAGGGATAAATGGGGGACATTGTGACACCACATGCTCAACCCACCATCCAAAACTGAGATATCACTTTTACTTGAACTTGGTGACAACTGCCATGAGAAGGTCCACATAAAGCCTCAGATAAGTTTGGACGTTTACATGTTTACATACAGTACAATTTGTTGATTGTTTCCAATCACCCTTGTGACCTTCTGCCTAGGTGTATGTTTTGTGCTTCTAACACGGAAATGATTATTGACAAACATGTCACTCAAATACCTCGAAGAAAAAGAATGCCGGGATTGTGTAAGCAGTATTGTATTACATGGACGTCTCTGTCAGCACCGCTGATTATTAGTACGCTTATTTCTATAACAACCCACACCATTCTTAAGTACCTGTTTTTCTATCTCACGTTTTGTTGATATAATGTGTAATAATAAGTGTAATAATGTATATAATTATTATACAAGGCACTTTGCAATCATTTATTTATTAACCACTTGCCCTCCAGAGGATTTACCCCCCTTCCTGACCAGGCCATTTTTTGCAATACGGTGCTGCATTACTTTAACTGGCAATTGCGCGGTCATGCAATGCTGTACATAAATAAAATTTATGCCCCTTTTTTCCCATAAATAAAGTTTTCTTTTGGTGGTATTTGGTCACCTCTGCGTTTTTTTTTTTTTTGCGCTGTAAACAAAAAAAGACTGACAATTTTGAAAATAAAAAAACAATATTTTTGACTTTTTTCTATAATACATGTCCAGTGAAAAAAATGTTAAAAATCTAATTTTGTCATGAATTTAGGCCAAAATGTATTCTGCTACATGTCTTTGCTAAAAAAAGTTACAGCATCTACAAATGGAATTTATACTGGAATTTTTTTTTTCATTTTTACACTAGTAATGGCTGCGATCAGCAACTTATAGCGGGACTGTGGCGGGCATTCTGTCACTGGGGGGGGGGGACTGACTAACTGCCACTGACATTCCAATGACACTAATACAGTGATTAATGCTAATAAAAAACACTGACACTGTACTAATGACACTGGGCAGGAGGTGGTTAACATCTGTGGCGATGAAAGGGTTAACTGTGCTGTGTGCTGTTTTACAAAAATGTGCTGTGTGTGTTTTACTAGGGAAACATGTTGCTGTGTTATTCTCTGCTATGCAGAGTAATACACAGCAGCATGTCCTTGCTGGCGGGAGAGAGACCTGTGTTGTTTACACACAGGTCTCTCCCCTGTCAGTGTTACTCGGCAATCGCCTGGTGACGGCGGTGAATACCCAGCCGGAACCTGGTGATTGACATATGTAGCCACCAATGGCGGTGCGATTAGGGAGGCACAAGCCCCCTACCCAGAAATGCAAGTCACATATACAGTATATGTGATTTTTCGCAGCCATGGCGCCCTGTAGCAGTACTTCTGCTATAGGGAGAGGGGAAGCAGTTAAACTGTGTTTGTGTTTTAATTCCAGAATCCTCATTCCATGTCACTAGTAATGCCAGGTTTGGTGAGATACTTGCACAGAGCATTTTCCAGGGAGCTAATTAAGTTTGCTGTACCAATATGGCATGCACCACATTAACAGAGCATTTTCGCCATTTTCTTTTTCAGAGTGAAATAGAAACTAACGCAGGTCTGCACCTTATTAACACAGGTAATATGGTAGTTTTCCATATAGAAAACTGCCACAGATTCCAGCCAGTGTGATGGCACCCTCCACTATGAGCTGAGCAGGATGAGGGGGGAGGGGGCAGGGACAAGCAGAGAGTTTAGGCCTTGAAGCTCCAGCTCTCAGTTCTCTGCATTGTGTGTTGTATCTTTCACAGCCTTAGAACAGAGAACTGATCACTCTTAACCACTTCCCGTCAGGCCCATGTATATAAATGTCCTCCTCGCTCCCTGCTTGTGGACACAGCGGAACACCGATCTTTGTACGGGACCTCTGTGTGAGGTCCCAATCATGTGATCACTGACTGGCCAATCAGTGATCACATGAAGAGTAATAAGCAAGATGTCACTTCCTGACATAATTGCTTACTACATGTGAAATCTGTGAATGCTCACAAAGGTCACATGGTACAAAGCTATTCACAACAGCCTTGTACCATGTGACAAGCTGTGACCAATCACAGCTCACACAGTATTTCTCAATGGCTGCAAGAATGCAGCCAGAAGGAAGGAGAAATGATTGCTTTTACAGCCTTTATGGGTGTAAAAGCAATTGGTGTAAAAAAAAAAAAAAAAAAAAAAAATCTTCATCATCCCCCACAAGTAGTACAGTGTTACTATGGTGACACTGTAATGATAGGGTGACAGTATGTAAAAAAAAACACAAATAACAATATATATAAAAAAATGTTTTAGAAAAATTATAATTTTTGGTTATAAACTAATTTGGGTTTTTTTTTTTTTTTACTAAAAAGATAATTGAATAAATTTTGGCCAAGACTTATGAAGAAACATTATTTATTTACAAATTTTTTTTAATTTGTGGACTTTTTCATTTATATAGCAAAAAAAAGTGGTGGTGAATAAATACCACCAAAATAAAGTTTTATCTGTCTCAAAAAAATGCTAAAAAATTCATATGGGTACAGTGTTGCATGACTGCGCAATTGTCATTCAAAGTGTGATAGCACTGAAAGCTGAAAATTGGCCTGGACAGGAAGGGGGTAAAAGTGGCTTGTGCCCTTTTTGTTAAAGTACAACTAAAGGCAAAACTCTTTCTTCTTTTCATTTTGGAAGAGAATAGTAGAGGGTTATAACCCCTGTCATTTTTTACATCTGTCTGGAAGTGAAGATTTCTCTTCACTTCCTGTTCCATAGCCAAAACAGGAAGTGAGAGGAATTCGTTTCAAAGTGAGGGAATCATTGGTTGTTAAAAAACAGAAACGAACTCTCCTGCACTCTGAGACCCAGGTGGGTGGCGAATAGATGGAACCAGAACTGGAAGATACGACCAACAGTGCATATAGGGTTGTGCAGCTCTAAACAAGGCTGGGGAAGCCCGACCAATACTGCAAAGCGAAACAGAAACGAGAAGCGCACCAACCTTGCGCATTACCTCAGTAACCAAATTTTATTAAATACAAAATGATACTCACAAACAGCGAAGTAATTCAAACATGTAAGTCCTCAAAGGAACTTGAAAGTTAGGAAGTCTGCGCGAGTCCCATCATAGGGGTAGACACTCAGAGTACAGTTGACACGTTTCGAAGGGCTTCCCTTCTTCATCAGAACTGATGTCAGTGGCAGGAATAATGTCCCATCATTGGTGTCAGTGGGAGGAATAGTGCCCCAGGGGCTGGATAAAAACAAGCAAAGGGCCGCATCTAGCCCGATGGCCACAGTTTGGAGACCACTGATTTAGAGTAAAGGCAGAACTTACTGCTGACTGATCACATTTTTAATATTTTCTTTTCACATTTATTGTTATATTATTTGTATTTCTTTTATTGTTATATAAGATTAAGATGTTATTGCCACCTCATTAGTTGATATTTACACACTTTGTATAGTCATATTACCTGTTCCCAGCATGGATTGTTTGTTTATAACTTTTTTTTTTTTCAAATTTTTTTTATTATTTATAAGCAAAAATGTGATTTAAATACCACCAAAAGAAACTATTTGTGAGAAAAAAATGATCAAAATTTCATATGGATACAATGTTGCATGGCAATTTCAATCAAAGTGCGGCATGAAATGAAAATGTGTAGGGGGTATAAGTGCCTGGTAGGCAAGTGGTTAATATTGTTTGTTTATAATGATTTATTATTTATAAGAATGTTGATTTTATATGTATGTTGATTGGTTCATATATGTGTATGTATATATATATATATAAAAAAAAAAATATATATATATATATATATATACACACACACACACACACACACACACATACACTTGACCTCCAGAGGGTTTACCCCCCTTTCCTGACCATGCCATTTTTTGCTATACGGCACTGCATTATTTTAACTGACAAATGCACACGTCATTTTTCCCCACAAATAGACCTTTCTGTTGGTGGTATTTGATCACCTCTGGGTTTTTTTTATTTTTTTGTGCTATAAACAAAACAAATTACAATTTTGAAAAAAAAAAATATTTTTTACTTTCTACTATAAAACATATCCAATAAAAACATTTAAAACAATCTAATTTCTTCATAAAGTTATGTCAATATGTGTTCTGCTACATATTGTTAGTAAAAAAAAAATGCCCAATAAGCGTATATTGATTGGTTTGTGCAAAAGTTATAGCATCTACAAACTATGGTATATATACTGGAATTTTTTTTTTTTTTACTAGTAATGGAGGCAATCAATGACTTATAGCGGGACTGTGATATTGTGGCAGACAATCTGACACTAACTGACATTTTGTGGGAACCAGTGACACTACTACAGTGATCATTGCTAAAAAATATACACCGTCACTCTACAAATGACACTGGCTGGGAAGGGGTTAACATCTAGGGCGATCAAAGGGTTAAATGTGTGCCTAACAGTGCTTGGTGTGTGTACTATGTGTTTTTACTAGGGGATGTGCTGGATTTTAATCTCTGCTTTGCAGGGAAACAAAACCCAGCACATTGCTGCTGACAGGACACAGCTCTGCCTCGTTTACATAGGCAGAGCTGTGTTCTGTGCCTCTGATCACTGATCAGCATGTCATCCATTGGCTGGCACATGATCTGCTTCTGCTGTGACAAATTACAGCAGAAGCAGTGTGCTTTGGGCGCACCCCTATGCGGAAGTGCAGGATCACACACACTGTATATATGTGATTCTACACACAGCAGCCACCGTGTAACAATAAAACTGCTATAGGGCGCTTGCCAAATGTGTATATATATATATATATATATATATATATATATATATATATATAATATATTTTTTACTTTCTACTATAAAACATATCCAATAAAAACATTTAAAACAATCTAATTTCTTCATAAATTTATGTCAATATGTATTCTGCTACATATTGTTAGTATATATATATGGTGTACTTTTAGGCAGTTACAGAAACAGTTTTTAAAGGCTTTACCTAAATGAACAAAAACTGACCATAGTAAGAACCCTTGTCTGTGTTTAATGGTTTGTCTCACACCTCTCTAACTTACACTTTTACAAGGAGGACTCATAACAACTAGGTCTGTTTTTGTTCATTTAATTGACAGATGCATTAAATACGTCAATTTAGATTTTGCCTTTATTAACACTTCAGGGGGGATTTACTAAAACTTGAGCTCTCGGAATCTGGTGCAGCTCTGCATGGTAACTTCAGCTTGTTCAAATAAGTCTTGACAATAAAACCTGGAAGCTGATTGAATTCTGTGCAGAGCTCTGCCAGATTTTGCATGCTTTTGTTTTTGTTAAATGCTGCATGAAATAATCATGCAGTATTTTACAAGTTTATGCTGATTTGTGAAACAATACAAAATATTCATGTCTTCATTAACAAGGGAAGGATATCAGAAGCTGCTTGCTTGTGGGTTGTCTCTTTCTAAATGAACCTGCATGCAGAACCATATGGATCAGATACAGTGTGTGTGTGGGGGGGGTCCTCCTGCTGACGCATTCCGCTGTGTGCTTATTCTGAAAACATCTGAACAGAAGAGTGCCATAAAAGATTGGATTATAAATAAAAAAAATATATGTTAAAATTACTGTTTATATGTAAAAGAAGAAATCCGAAGAATATATTTAAAAAATATATTTAAAAAAAAATATTTTTCATATATTTTGTAATATATAAAAAATAATTTCAACATGCAGTATATATATATATATATATATATATATATATATATATATATATATATACAGTTGCAAGAAAAAGTATGTGAACCCTTTGGGATTACGTGGAGTTTTGCATGAATTGGGCATAAAATGTGCTCTGAACTTCATCTAAGTCACAACAATAGAAGAACACAGTCTGCTGAACATAATACTACACAAACATTAGATGTTGCCATGGTTTAATTGCACATAACATGTAAACATTCACAGTGCAGGGAGGAAAAAGTATGTGAACCATACTTTTTCTTGCAACTGTATATATTTTTTTATATATATATATATATATATATATATATATGTTTTGTAATATATTGAATATAGCTAAAATTGTAGCATTTCAAATATATGGCAGTATATTTGGGAAGAATATTTTTAAAGTATATTTCAAATATATTTTTCTTCCATATGGGAATATTGACTATAGGACCCCTACCCCAGGACCTTAGTTTCCACCAGTACACATCCAAATCCCTTCTATGTATTTACAGGATCTTCAGTGTGTTGAACATATGTACCTGCAGTAAACAGAAGGTAGTAATTCCATCTCTCTGAGACTTTGATCTGTGTCCATGAAGAGTCCTTTGACACTTTTCTGTAGTGGAGGTCATTGTGTACATCCTCTCTCAGACTAGACACTAATGTCAACAATGAGTATATCTGTAAACTCCTGCCTATCAATAACTTGTGGGATAGTCCTGTGTCAAACAAGAAGCTTGCAGTCAGACAGGATAGGGGCACATGTTCACTCCTTTCTTCTCTGACAGTGACGGATGGCCCTGACACAATTTCGCCTTCAAGGGACTGTCAGTAAGTTTAGCCAGGAAATGGACCCTAAATACAACTGCATTTATAGGGGCAGGAAAGGTGCTGAAGGCTCTCCACACCTGCTGTGAGAGTTCTCCTCCGTACTGAACGATAGTACCGGTTACCTTGGCAATTAAATAATTCAATTTAGTTTATATAGTAACTAGTGCCACATGTACTGTGCCCTTTTGCCTTTTGGAGTGTGAGATCTTTTGGTTAGGCGTGACCTTATAATATACCATATAATAGTGACTATTGTTTTAGAAGCATATAATAGTAACATTATGTGATGCAGAAAAGTGAAATGTCAATGTAGCCAGATGCCGGCTATATCATTATGCCTTTCAGGGACATTTACAGATGAAACTATGAATAATCCATTTTCCCCTAGTGCCCAGTACTGGGACTGCTGCATCAATTCTTGTTAGCAGAGTGGATCCAGTTCTGACAGTGGAGGATCTTGGGTCATGTAGTCCTATAGCCAATATATACTGCATTTCTAAGTGCTGCTTGAACTACAACTACC